GATCTCTGTCACAATATATGCTATACCTCTTAGTCGAGCATCCATAATGTCTTTTTTAAAATTTTGAATTAGAATCAATGAGCAAAATAGTGAATTCACTCTCCATAAATGATTGAGGGTTACTATCCAATTTGAAGTAAGACATTCCCTTCTGAATTGATCGTTTTGCCTTGATTAATGTTCAATTTCTTAACAATTGTTATGAATTTGTCTATATTGACACAATGTGAAAAATTAGTTGATACAATTAGAGTTAAACGGACCAAATTAACGTAAGATGCAAATTAGAGTGATGATTGGTACAATTTACCATTTATCAATTAAGTGTCGTGTTGATGATACCCCATAAACTGTCCCGACATTAATTCCGATTAGCTGCGACATCGGTTCGGCATGACCCCTTTAAACTGTCATGGCATTAGTTTCAATTGTCTGCTACAACGGTCCGACACGACCATACACTGTCTGCTACAACGGTCTGACACAACCATACAGTGTCTCCTATCCCATTTTTAATTTTATTTATCAGTTTATTTTTTTCTGTTTTGTTACTCTCTCCAAACTCAAGTTGGTTAGTACCTATCCTCCTTGAGTTTGAGGGGGGCTGTTAATATATTTTATGTTAGTGCTTTAGGCTTTAGATTAGTGCCTTTACTTTCGGTTAGTGGATCCACTTTTGGCATGATGATGTTTGTAATTTTCTCTCCTATATAACGGAGAGTGTACCTCTTTATTCATATAACATTCAATACATAAACATATTCAATACACAATTCTTTCTCTTTCTTTATACATAAAACTAATACATGGAACAATATTATGTTAAGATATGCATGTGATTTTCCAATTTAAAAATACTTGGGAGGAGACATTGCAGAAACATTGCCAACAGAGCACTTGTAATTGAAGATGAAGGATTCCTTATGTCTCCTTCCCACCATGATATACATTGGGCATATATATACATATACCAAGGAAGGAACACAACATTGCAAAATTGAATTGTACATCTCATTGCTAAAGCCTTATTCCTAAACTAGAGAAAAAAAATGGCTTCCTCTCCTTTGAGATCGAAAGGCCCTTACCATGCTCGATCTGTCAGCTTGCCCTCTAGATCTCATCCACTCATTCCTGAATTCAATGGGCACTTGGGTAGAATAAGAGCTCCTGATCATGAAGCTTCCTCTTCTTCATTGCCATCAACAAGAAACAGATTGAGCAGCCTCGAGGATTTGCATGATTGCGTCGGTGATTTGCTTCCACTGCCACACATTGAACATGCCTTGGCCAAAGAGCACGATGAGACATGGGTCGATGAGGTTGTGGATGGATATCTAAGGCTCTTGGATGTGTGTTCCACTGCTAAAGATATCTTCTCACGGATGAAGCAAGCTGTACAAGACCTTCTCTCAATGCTGCGAAGGAGAAGGGATGCAAATGACTTCCAGGGATACTTAGCCTCTAGAAAGATGGTGAAGAAGGCAATCAAGAAGTCCTTGAAGGATTTGAAAAGTATCAAAAACAAAAACACCTTCCTTCCCAAGGACAAAGATAGCAAAACTGTTGCCATTTTTAGCATGCTAACAGAGGTTGAAGCAGCCACTCTTGCTGTGTTTGAATCCTTGTTGTCCTATGTTGGTGGGACAAAGGTGCAATTGAGGCAAAAAAGCTGGTCTTTGGTTTCCAAGCTGATGCAACACAAGAGTGCAGAATCCCAAGATGAAGCAAATGGGAATGAGCTTGAGAAGCTTGATGGTGCATTGAAGGCAGGAAGATAGCATACAAAATCAATTGGGGAAGATGGAGTTGGGTATTGAAGATATCGAAAGCAGATTGGAATGCTTGTTTAGGCGTTTAATCAAAACCAGAGTTTCGCTTCTCAACATTCTTAACAACCACTAGTTTGAGAAAATCATGATGCATAACCTTGTGCGTCCAAAATTTTGTTACTCAGAGAAAGGGCTTCTGACTAGCTGTTCATATATACTTGTAAATTGATATACTTGTTATTTTACTCTCTTAGTTATAAATCAATATACTTGCTATAATTTTTGGTGCAGTATTGCTTCTTTCCTCATTTTAGAGCATTCAATCAATCTGTGGGAATGAAACTAATAATTTTAACATGCCCCATCTTTTACCCTCTTGAATATTTCAGCTGACATATATACATGGTCACTTGTGGGGGAAAACGTAAGTGATAAGATTTCAGTGAATTAATGTTAAAGAAATGGTGTTAGTAATGTAAAGTAAGTTTGGGAAACCAGGGAATCTCAGCAAACGAGCTAATTATTTCTAAGTTTTAGCGGGGGATTTGTGGCTGAACAACATCAACCGTGCTAGTTAAATTAAATGAATGCACCATTTCAATAATGAAGTACTTCTATTTTTTTCCTCACAAGAATAATGTGTTTTGTAAGTAAAAACTATCTGGGTTTCAAGTACATCAGTCTACAAGTTTGGGCTAACTTTTGGATGGTGAATAATTTGAGTAGCTTGGCCAAATTTCTTACAGAATTAAAGTATACTAACACAGTTGAATTTCTTGGGTTGTGACTTGTTGAGTTTAGCAGGTATCTAGCACCAAATAAAAATACCTCATTTTCTTTTCATTTTAATCAAAAAAAAAAATTGAACTGAACTATTTACTTTTGCCAATTTAAACATATATATCAGAATGTAACTTATCGAGGCCACATGAGGGGTTTAAATTATTTGATGATGCTAAAGCTGTCAAGATTCCAATTGTCTCAATGGTAGTGCTTTTAAAAAAAAATCATGAGACTGGCGTGGAAATTTTTAATCTAATTAACATGCCTTAAACAATGTAGAGTCTAGTTGGCTGTCTTTCTGTTTGGGAACACTACGATTTGGTTTATATAATATTAATCAAGCATCGTACCAAATTTCCTACAATATGAAAATCAATGGAAAAGTTGTGTGGAGATCATCTTGCCAGTCTCTTGTACAAATAATTAAGATGTTTCAAAATTTTATTTAAATTTTGATTTGGATTATATGAAACAAACATGTCACTTTTGGATATAAATTTTTTTTCCCCCATACCTTTATTTTTACTAAATCATTAGTTTGTAAATTGGTTATTTAAAAAAAAAAAACTGAACCCGTGAAAATACTTTTTATAAGAAAAAAAAAAAATTACAAAAATATTGAACTAAATCAAGTTTTTTTAGATTCAAGTAGGGTCAGGTGAACCCACTCAAATATATATGTTGTTATCACCTAAAAGTCATTGATCTTGCATTAGCAAAAGCTGCTAAACCATATAACATGAAATCAACCATCATACTGTACTTAAAGTTGCAGCTTAATATAAGACAAGGGTCACTGATCATTTGGTTGTAGCTTCTCAAATGTCTTGCTTAGAACTATCCTCTTTTAGCATCATTTTCTTTGTATCACTTGTAAAATCTCCAATTTGTTTGACTGTAATTAGTGAAGCAGTTATATTGCAAATTTGAAGGTATCAAACAAACAGTTATATTGTCTCTCAGGTGTAGATGTTTCAGTCACCACTCAGAAACATGGAAAAATTCTAAAAGATGCACACACATGGTCATGCATTTTCTTCTGAAGGAAACAAAGTGTCGTGCCACTCGTGCATTGCAAGTTTATGGATTATTTAATACAGTAATCACCAATTCTTCTTGAGATATGCCACTGATTTCAAAGAAAAGAAAATTGGTTTGGTAGTTGGAACCTGGTGGTGGGGGGACATTGCGTAAACATCGGCAACATATCATTTAGATCCAATTTCATAGCCATGTTACCATTTCCTCATAATTTTAGCGAATGAGATTCCTTATGTCTCCTCCACCCAATGATATATATATTGATCATATTGCCAAGGGAAGGGACACAGCAGAACACAACTCATTGGTTTTGAATTGTGCATTCCAAATCAGAAAGAAAAATGGCTTCCTCTCATTACCATGCCCGCTCTGTCAGCTTTCCCTCTAGATCTCATCTGCTCATTCCCCAATTCAATGAGCATTTGTGCAGAGTGACGTTTTCTGAGTCTACCTCTTATTCCTTGCCATCAACAAGCGACAGACTAAGTGGCCTTGAAGGTTTGTATGACTGTGTTGATGATTTGCTTCTACTGCCACACACTCAACAAAGCATGGCCCAACAATGCCATGAGAAATGGGTTGATGAGGCGTTGGACAGTTACCTCAAGCTCTTGGATGCTTGCGCAGCCACTAAAGACATCATCTCAAAGTCCAAGGAAGATGTGATAGAACTTCTTTCAATCCTTCGCAGAAAAAGGGATGCGAGTAGCTTTGGGGGGTACTTAACTTCTAGAAAGAAGGCAAAGAAGATCATCCAGAAGTTGCTTAAGGATTTGAAAAGTATCAGAAACAAAAACATGGCGATAAACTTAGATAAAGACCATGGAGCTGTTGCTATTTTTAGCACATTAAAAGAGGTTGAATCAGTCACTCTTGCAGTATTGGAGTCCTTGTTGTCCTATGCTGCGGGAACAAAGGTGCAATCAAGGCGAAGTGGCTGGTCTTTGGTTTCCAAACTGATGCACCAGAAGAGTACTGTGGCATGTCAAGCCAAAGAAACAGATATCAATGAGTTCGAGAAGGTTGATGCTGCAGTGCACTCACTCATTAGCCACAAGCCAAGAAAATCTGATGACAACAAGATTGTGCAAAACCAGCTAGAAAAGTTGGAGTTGAGCATACAAGATCTTGAAGAAGTTCTAGGGCGCTTGCTCAGGCATTTAATTAAAACCAGAGTTTCCCTCCTCCACATTCTCAACCACTAGCCTAGAAAATTTTGATGTCACAGATACTTGAAATGTAAATGAGAAATATACTTGTAAATTTTCCCCCAATTATAAATCAATATTCTTTCGTTTTCTTAGACCATTTATTCATTAATCACTTGAAGTTAGATAAAAGTAGTACTTGGTTCCATCCAATTTTAATGTTAAACATGAAATTGAAAGAAAAAATATGTAGGGGTGAAAGAAGCATGACACGTCAAATAACCTCAAGATTCAAAATTAAGTTGAAAAAAGTTCAAAAAATAAATAAATAGAGATTAGCATAAGAATCAGAGATTCACAGTCAAAACCATTTTCATTTTATTCAAAATATAAACAGGAATTCAATCATGCATGTGTTGTAATTGAGGCCACATGAGGATTTTATGTAATGTAATAACTTCAAAGATGTTAAAGATTCGAATTGTCTGAGGGCGATGATTAAAGACTGACTAAAAAATTTATGAGACTCACATGGTAGTTTCAACAAAAATGTGTTGGTTGTCTCTCTGCGTGGAGGATAGTATAATTTCTCTTTGAATGTGTACAATATTTTTTTATTTTTCTTGTAAACTTGGACCATTTTGTAACTTATTGCATGGAACAATATTATATTAAGATATGCATGTGATTTTCCAACTTAAAAAAGACTTGGGAGGAGACATTGCAGAAACATTGCCAACAGAGAGCACTTATAATTGAAGAGGAAGGATTCCTTATGTTTCCTTCCCATCGTGATATATATTGTGTATATATATATATGCCAAGGAAGGAACACAATATTGCAAAATTGAATTGCACATTTCACTGCTAAAGCCTTAATCCTAATTTCAAAGAAAAATGGCTTCCTCTCCTTTGAGATCAAAAACTCGTCACCATGCTCGATCTGTCAGCTTACCTTCTACATCTCATCCACTCACTCCTGAATTCGATGAGCAGCTGAGTAGAATAAGAGCTCCTGATCATGAAGCTACCTCTTCTTCATTGCCATCAATAAACAACAGATTGAGTGGCCTTCAAGATTTGCATGATTGTGTCGGTGATTTGCTTCTACTGCCACATATTGAACAAGCCTTGGCCCGAGAGCACAATGAGAAATTTGTTGATGAGGTGGTTGATGGATATCTAAGGCTCTTGGATGTGTGTTCCACTGCCAAAGACGTATTCTCACAGACGAAGCAAGATGTGCAAGACCTTCTCTCAACGCTGCGAAGGAAAAGGGATGCAAATGACTTCCACGGATACTTAGCCTCTAGAAAGATGGTGAAGAGAACTATCCAGAATTCCTTGAAGGATTTGAAAAGTATCAAGAATAAAAGTACCCTCCTTCCCAAGGACAAAGACAACGAAACTGTGGTCATTTTTAGCATGTTAAAAGAGGTTGAAGCAGCCACTCTTGCTGTGTTTGAATCCTTGTTATCCTATGTTGGTGTGCAATCAAGGCAAAGCGGTTGGTCTTTGGTTTCCAAGCTAATCCAGCACAAGAGTGTTTCATGCCAAGATGAAGAAACAAATGTGAATGAGTTTGAGAAGGTTGATGGTGCATTGAAGGCAGGGAAATTTGATAGCATACAAAATCAATTGGGGAAGATGGAATCAAGCATTCAAGATATCGAAGACAGATTAGAGTGCTTGTTTAGGCGTTTAATCAAAACTAGAGTTTCGCTCCTCAACATTCTTAACAACCACTAGTTGAGAAAATCATGATGCATAGCCTTGTGCTTCAAAAATTTTGTTACTCAGAGAAAAGCCATCTGATTAGCTATATACTTGTAAATGAGAAATACACTAGTCATTTTACTCTCTTAATTATAAACCAAAACACTTGTTACAATTTTTGATGCAATGTTGCTCTTTTCCTCATTTTAGAGCATTCAATCAGTTGGTTGGAAATGGAAGAAAAACTTTTAACATGCCAATCCCATCTCTAAGCCTCTTCAATATTTCATCTTATATACATGGTCTTTCTTTTCTTTTTTCGGGTTCCCTCAAAAGAATAAGATGGTTTTGCATGTAAAATCATCTGTGTTTCAAGTGAATGAGTCTTACAAGTTTTGGACTGACCTCTGGTAACTGGCAAGTGAACAATTTGAGTAGATTGGTCAATTTTTTTGAGGTGGTCACTCATTGTGTTCAACAGGTATCCTTTTTCTAATGAAAAAAAACACTCTTTAAGTTCTTTTTTTTTTTTTTTAATTTACAAATTTAAACATATATATTGGAATCCAATTTGTCAAGGCCACATGAGGAGTGTATGTTTTTTAATGATACCAAAGCAGTCAAGATTCCAATTGCCTAGGGAAGTGATTTAATAAAAAAAATAATGAGATTCGCATGGAAATTTTGAATCTAATCAACATGCTATAAGCAATGAAGAGTGTGATATCTTATCTTTCTGTTTCGGCACACTCTGATTTGGATTATACAATATTAATCAAATCATACCAATTTTCCTACATTATGAAAACTAATGGCAAAGTTGTGTGCAGATGAGCCTCTTGTACAACAATCATGTGAGTATCATTTACCCAATCTCAACTACTGTACAATGTTCTGCTGCAGCAACATTAGTTTAATTGCTTCTGTTAATTTTGCACATGGACTCGTGAAGCTTGTAAATATATTAATTTTGATATAATTAAGGCTGCACAAGAGTTCATATAATTAGTGAAACAAAATTAAAGTTGTCAAGGTTCAAATTTTCTCAGGATATGATTTCAAATCTGATCTAAATTATAATTAGTTTAACATGGAAATTTCAAAACTCGCACGCTTGGAGCAATGAAAATTGTGCTGGCTGGCTGTCTTTCTGTTAGGGGGACACTGATTTAGTTTATACCACTGATCCATAGGCCTCATGCCATCTTCTTCCTCCATTATTGTATGGGAAGACATGGTGAAGATGAGTGCGGATCTTGCCGACCTCTTCTACAACAACCATGTGCCTTACTCATCTGCCTTGATTGATCGACTAATCCTTCAAATAATTGATTCAGAAGCGCATACACATCCACAAAACAGAGTAGACTGAGTGTTAATGCACACCTGTAATGTTCCAAGCTGAAAAACACAAGTGGTGTGGTTGGGAGGAAGACATTGCGTAAACATCGCCACGATACTACTTAGATCCAAATCAAAATCATGTTGCTTGTAACGCCCTCAAAATATTATATAAGTCAACCATTCACGAGATCTATAGACATGATAGAAATGCTGTATTTTCATTCATCAGAGTTAATATTACAAAAGATATTACATGCATTACACTTTCGTAAATGTTTATCCTGAAACTATAATATGTAACTCTAAATGTTAACAATAGAATAAGTGTCCTACGGGCTTACATTTTTCCAAGACTTCACTTGGTTACAACAAAGAAGAGTCCTAGCTCGATACACATAATGCCCTCAGCTTGAATAAACATTCAACACAAAAACGAAATCACAAAAGTGGAGTCTTCAGCCCCTAAGCCTCCCAAGCTATGTCCTCGGAGGTGGCATGTCACCTGTACCTGAAAATGGTTTCCCAAGTAGGGCGAGCCAAAGCCCAGTAGAGATATGCTAAACAATATATGAGAATTAACTAAAATATGAGCATCAGATAAATGTGCAACATTCTTAACCAACATATATTCTTTTCAAGGTCATTCAATATAGATAACCAATATCTCAATTTATTTCCATGCATCCATTTCAGGTAAATCAATTAACCCAAGTTCATTATTATCACACAACCAATATGAGACTACAACTCAATGGTCCACAATTCAATATATTCATCAAATCCAACACTTCTATTTCTTGCCATTTTACGGAACCACGTTCGGGGGAACCGGCACTCATAAATATATAAGATTTCGGGACTTTCACCCTGGATACTCCGGCCAACTTAATTATCAATGGAGTCCATCCCCTATCTCCTCCCAAACAATGATACATATACAATGTATTTAAACACGTTGTCATATACAATGACTAATCAAATCACATATTCAATGGTTTAATCAAACCGACATATTCAATGACATAATTCAATTAATTAGTTTCAATTCACCTAATCCACATGCAATTTCTACAACAATCATAGCTATCCTCCACTAATAGCCCAAAACAGATATTTCTAAATAGATATACAATCTATCAAACAGATAATTTATCAAATTTCCATAGGTGAGTGATTTAACAGATCCAACTACACCATTCAATCATACACCCTTCCAATTTCATATTTCCCATGTCAATTTCATTATTTATTCAAAATAGTCATTTAACACAAATTAGGGCAAAACCTTTCCTTTTTCCCAATATCATCCCCAAGACCCAATCTCACAATTTATCTTCTTATAATACCATAATCAAGCCCTCATCTACATATATGAAGCCAAATATTGGAAACCCCTATTTCAAAATTTAAACCTAAACCCTAATTTCACCCAAATCTTCCAAAATCCCACCATTTATGCAAAATAACAAATATCTAGGTTAAAACCCATATTAAAGAGTAGAATATCCTTACCTCAAGCTTAGATGAGAGAGAAGAGGGAAAGCTCAAAAGTCAGTGGTGACGAAACCACGTTTTGCCTCGATCAAAATGAAGCCCTTGACAAGCTCTATACTTAATCTCAAAGGAGCAAGGTGAAAAGATCACTCTAAGTGAGTAGATCTAGAGATTTAAGTGAAAAAGTTTGAGTTTTAGAGAGAGAAGAGAGAAATCATGGTTTAAGAGGAAAAGGGAAAGGAAAATCATGAGAGAAAAATGGTTTGAGTCTATTTATAGTAATAAGGAATAGCCTTAAGGTCAAATAAAATAATAGGCCCAAAAACCCCCTTAGATAGGTCCCATTCAGACCTAAAAAATCTACACAGCGGTCGATCCTTCAAGCATGGGGGTCGACCCTTTAGGTAGAAAAGACAATCTGCACAAGCAAGGGGGGTTGATCCTTGGACAGGAGGGCGTCTACCCTATTTTCCAGCAACTAACACACAGACATAAGAGGGTTAACCCTCCCCAGTCTGGTGTCTACCCTATTTTCCAACAACTAACACATAGACATAAGAGGGTCGATCCTCCCTAGTCTGGTGTCTACCCTATTTTTTAGCAACACTTCCAGAAACTTTACCAACAGGTAAGGGTCAACCCTTAGGAAGGCTGGTGTCAACCCTAGAATAGAATTTTTAAGTCTCCAAGGAACTTTTGACAAGAATAAGTGTGAACAAGCAAACCCAACAAGTTTAAATTGGATTCCCATAACAACACCAAAGACTTCCAAAATAAAAATAAGGGATTTGAATACACTTTCCCATAAGCTTTGAAAGATACAGGTGCTACATTGCTCCTCATCCATGATTGAATAGGATGAGATTCCTTATCCCTCTTTCATGCCATGATATACATTGAGCGTATGCCCTAGAGAAAGGTCACAACTTACAACTTTCAATTGCTTTGGATTCCCATTGAAAGAGAGTATGGCTTCCTGTCCTTCAAGATCTAAAACCCATTACCATGCTTGCTCAGTCAGCTTTTCCTGTATATCATCTTATTCTCTTATTCGTGAATTCAATAAGCAGTTGTGTAGGATAAGGGCTCCTGATCATGAAGTTACTTCTTCTTCATTGCCATCAATAAACAACAGATTGAGCAGCCTTGAAGACTTGCATGAGTGTGTCAGTGATTTGCTTCTACTACCGCACATTGAACAAGCCTTGGCCCGAGAGCACAATGAGAAATTTGTTGATAAGATGGTGGACGGATATCTAAGGCTCTTGGATATGTGTTCCACTGCTAAAGATGTCTTTTCACAGACGAAGCGAGAAGTGCAAGACCTTCTCTCAACACTGCGCAGGAAAAATGATGCAAATGACTTCCACGGATACTTTGTGTTAGCAAATATTTTAATATTATAATGTGTTATAGATTACATTATGTGATTGGGCTCCAAATAACTTGTTAATCCTTTCTTTTCCTCCAAGAAACTTGCCCACCAAGTTTCCAAGACAAGTCTTCCAAGTCTTTCAAGTCTTTTTCTCAAGTCTTCCAAGGAAATTGCTCACCAATTTCCTTTCTTATTCTTATCCGCAAAGTGTCTTCTCCTCCAAGCCACTTGCCTAACAAGTTTCATCTTCTATAAATTGATCTAACTTCTTATCGTGGAAAGGTGAAGAAGTTTTTGTTGCTTTATTATGTTTTGTGTGAGATTATCAGGCAAATAAAAAATGGTGTATATGATAAAGCTTTGGGTTTAACCAATTGTGTAGAATTGGTGAACCATACGACTTAGTCGGGCTGCTGTATCCTAGGGGGGACAAGTTACAATTTTTTCTGCTGTACCGGTGTGAGGCTTTGTCTAACCGTAGAGGGCTTGAATCTCCTTAAAGAGAGTGAATTTCCCACGTCTCAGCCCTTACAATCGTTATTGTAATTTTTATTATTTGTATTTTCTGGTGTTTTATTTATAATTATCACCAACAATTTTAAGGAGATTCAAATAGCAAAAGTTCATGGAGCCAGTACTGGAGAAGCCCAACGAGAATGCCAGTGATCTTAACAAGCCCTTCCGGTTCAAGGGAGCCTATTTCAAGAGATGGAAAGGCAAGATGCTTTTCCACCTTAGTCTCCTCAAGGTGGCCCATATCCTGACCAAGAAAAATCTGAACAAAGTCCCCACTGAAGAGATGACCGACGAGGAGTATGCTGCTCATCTTGAAAAAATCGAGAAATATAACACAATTGAGTATAAATGTCGATATTATCTTTTGAATTGTCTTTCAGATCAATTTTATGATTATTATGATACTGCTTACACCACTGCCAAGAAAATTTGGAAAGCCTTGCAGAATAAATATGACACTGAAGAGGCAAGCGCTAAAAAATATGTTGCAAACCGTTTTTCCGCTATCAAATGATAGATGGGAAATCAATGATGGAGCAAGTTCAAGATTTTCATATACTAGTGGCTGAAGTTAGATCCGAATGCATCAAAATTGGAGACAATCTTGTTGTGGCAGGTATTATTGACAAACTACCATCATCTTGGAGGGAATTCCAGAAGTCAATGCGTCACAAGCAAAAAGAGATGTCGTTAGAGACTTTAATCACACAGATTCGAGGAAGCACGAGGACAAGATGCGCTTATGACACAAGAGCATTCCACTACAAAGGTAAATTTAACTTCTGGAAATACTTTACCTAAAGGTCAAATTCATAAAAATAGTCACTTGAAGCCAGTTAAGAAAATCTGGAAAAATACTGGAAGGCCACAAAATAAAAATTACCCGAGGCAAAAGAAATGGAACCAAGAACCCCCTTCACAAGATCTGACAAATGTGACATGTTTTGTGTGTGGCAAAAGTGGGCATATTGCTCGAACTTACAAATTTCGAAAACAACAGTCTCAACCACAGGCTAATGTTACCGAGGAACCATTTGTGGCTATGATCACAGATATTTTTATGGTTTAATTTATGGAAGGGTAGTGGGCAGACTCTAGTGCCAATAGGCATGTTTGCTATAATAAAGATTGGTTCAAAGATTTCACTCTTTTTAATGAGGAGAGGACTGTTATGCTTGGTGACCCCAGTTTAACCAAGGTGCTCGGGTGTGGGGATGTTGAGCTGAAATTTACCTCTGGACGTGTGCTTGTTATAAAGATGTGTTGTATACACCGTCTATGAGGAAAAATTTGATGTCGAGTTATTTGCTCAACAAGCTGGTTTCAAGCAGACTATTGAATTTGACCAATAGGTGATTACTAAAAAAGGCATATTTGTGGAGAAAGGGTATGCCTGTGATGGAATGTTTAAATTAAATATTGAAAATAAGAAAGCACATGTTTCTGTTTACATGCTGTCTTCTATGAATTTTTGGCATGCTCGTCTGTGTCATATTAATAGCCTATATGTGGGAGTCATGAGTAGTTTAGGATTAATTCCCAAACTAACAAATAAGTTTGAGAAATGTGAAGTTTACAGTCAAGCAAAAATAACTAAAAGACCTCATAAAAGTGTGGTGAGAAATACTAAATTGTTAGAATTAATTCACACTGATTTATGTGAATTTGAAGGAATTTTAACACGTGGTGGAAATAGATATTTATCACTTTTATTGATAATTTTTCAAAATACACTTATGTATACTTGTTGAAAAATAAAAGTGATACTTTTGAAAAATTTAAAGAATTTCTTCTTGAGGTTGAAAATCAATTCAGTAAAAAGATTAAAAGATATAGAAGTGATAGAGGCCGGGAGTATGAATCTTTTGGATTCAACTCGTTTGCTGCTCAGTCCTTGGGAATAATCCATGAAACTACTCTACCATATTCACCTGCGTCTAATGGTGTAGCAGAAAGGAAAAATAGAACTTTAATTGCTTTAACAAATGCTATGCTAATTGAAGTAGGTGCTCCTTCAAGTTTGTGGGGAGAAACAATTTTAACTGCATGTTATGTTATGAATAGAGCGCCACATAAAAAAAGCAAAAGTTACACCTTTTGAGTTGTGGAAAGGGGCATAAGCCAAATTTGAGATATTTGAGGGTTTGGGGTTGTCTAGCTTTTGTTAGACTTGTGGATCCTAAAAGACCTAAATTAGGTGTGAAAGCTGCCACTTGTGCTTTTCTTGGATATGCAACAAATAGTACAACCTATAGATTTTTTGATATGGAAAACAAAATAATTTTTGAATCAGGTGATGCAATTTTTTATGAAGAAAAATTTCCTTTTAAATCTAAAAATGGTGGGGGTCAAAATTATCAAGAAAATATTTTATCTGAAACCGGTTCCTCTATTCCTCTTTTACAAAACCAAGATACTGTAGTTTTTGAACCTAGAAGGAGTAAAAGAGCCAGATTAGAAAAATATTTTAGCCCTAATTATCATGTTTTTAATGTGGAGGAAACTTCATTAACTTTACAAGAAGCTTTGGCATCTCCTGACTCTGTTTTTTGGAATGAGGCTGTAAATGATGCGACGTAATCATTATTATCCAATAAAACTTGGGTATTAGTAGATTTACCACCAGGTTGTAAACCTATTGGCTATAAATGGGTTTTGAGAAAAAAACTTAAACCGAATGGAACTATTGATAAATATAAAGCAAGACTTGTTGCAAAAGGTTTTAAACAACAAGCAGATCTTGACTTTTTTGATACATTTTCTTCGGTTACAAGAGTTACATCCATTAGATTATTAATTGTAGTGGCTGCAATTCATGATCTAAAAATTCATCAAATGGATGTTAAAACAGCCTTTTTAAATGGAGACTTGGGTAAAGAAATCTATATGGATCAACCTGAGGGTTTTGTGGAACCTGGTCAAGAAAGCAAAGTGTGCAAGCTAGTTAAATCCCTATATGGCTTAAAACAGGCCCCTAAACAGTAGCATGGGAAATTTGATTCCTGCATGATTAAAAATGGCTATAAAACGAATGAATGTGATAAATGCATCTACTATAAATCTGAAGAAAATTCACATGTCATTATTATCCTCTATGTGGATGATTTACTTATATTTGGCTCTAGTTTGCATATCATCGTGGAAACTAAAAATATACTTAGTAGCCATTTTGATATGAAAAATCTTGGTGAGGCTAATTATATTTTGGGAATGAAAATTACAAAAATCTGTGATGGCATATTTATTGATCAATGCATTATGTTGAGAAAATTTTGAGAAAATAAAATTTTTATAAGTGCAAGCATGTTCTTACTCCTTTTGATCCTCATGTGCGTTTACTTCTTGTTGAAAATGATGAGGATGTAATTAATCACAAGGAATATGCTAGTATGATTGGTAGCTTGCGTTATGCGACTGACTGTACTAGACCTGACATTGCCTATGCAGTTGAAGTACTTAGCAGGTTTACTAGCAAGCCTGGCAGTGATCACTGGCTAACCATGGAGCGAATTATGAAATGTTTATCTGGTACCATAAAATATGGCTTGTTTTATAATAAGTATCCTACAGTACTTGAAGGTTACAGTGATGCCGATTGGAATACATTGTCAGGTGATTCATTATCAATCACTGGTTACTTATTTACCTTGGGAGGTGGTGCTATAAGTTGGAATTCGAAAAAACAAACCATTATTGCTAATTCAATAATGGAGGCTGAGCTTATTGCTTTAGCTACAGCTAGTGAAGAAGTCAATTGGTTAAGAGATTTGTTAAATGAAATCTCTCGTTGGGAAAAACCGATTCCACCTATACTGATTTATTGTGATAGCACCGCAGCAATTGGCCGAGTTAATAACCATTATTATAACGGTAAATCCAGACCTTTCAGAAGAAAACATAGTATTGTGAGATCTTATATGAATAGTAGCATCACAAATGTGGATTATATTAAATCTGGTGATAATCTTGCAGATCCATTAACTAAGGCCTTAGCAAGAGATAGAGTTTGGAATACATCTAGGGGGATGGGGTTAAAGCCCATTGAATATAGCAGGAGCCATGTATGAGGATACTCAACCCAGGGACCAGAGATCCTGTAACTGGGTTCAATGAGAAAAACGTTCATATGATGGCCGTGAGAAATGTACTAAATTACTAGTTACCCATCCCTATGATGTAAATGCATTTAGCTTGTAACGTTGTAGAGGATGAGTTATTAAAAAACTCTTAATGAATTTATGTACCTCTTATTGAGTGGGGTGTCATAGTTACAGGAGCACCCTTGACAGAATTCACATATGTGAGTGTGGTAGTGGGGCCGCTACTTATGAGATTTTGGCTAATTCTCAAACACACTCATGAATCTTGGGATTGCACAAGGCCGTAACGTGCTGGCTTTTAAAGCTTATGTGAACACTTGAAATATTATGTGTGTGCAATAATTATTTATTTCCCTTAAGTAGTCATAGTTTAATGCTGAGCATACTATTAGCTCTGGAGTGGATATTATTGTTTCACCAATGGAGGTTCAATGCAGAGCACACCTACCATGATGCATAATATCCTTATTTGCCTAATAATGTCAGATTTTGTTACCTATAATATTAAAATAGGTGGGGGAATGTTAGCAGATATTTTAATATTATAATGTGTTATAGATTATATTATGTGATTGGGCTCTAAATAACTTGTTAATGCTTTCTTTTCCTCCAAGAAAACCTGCCCACCAAGTTTCCAAGACAAGTCTTCCAAGTCTTCCAAGTATTTCAAGTATTTTTCTCAAGTCTTCTAAGGAAATTGCTCACCAATTTCCTTTCTTATTCTTGTCCGCTAAGTGTCTTCTCCTCCAAGCCACTTGCCTAACAAGTTTCATCTTCTATAAATTGATCTAACTTCTTATCTTGGAAAGGTGAAGAAGTTTTTGTTACTTTATTCTGTTTTGTGTGAGATTATCAGGCAAATAAAAAGGGTATATGTGATAAAGCTTTGGGTTCAACCAATTATGCAGTATTGGCAAACCATACGACTTAGTCGGGCTGTTATATCCTGGGGAGGACAAGTCACAATTTTTTTTGCTGCACCGGTCTGAGGCTTTGCTTAACCACAGAGGGCTTGAATCTCCTTAAAGAGAGCGAATTTCCCGTGCCTCAGCCCTTACAATCGTTATTGTAATTTTTATTATTTGTATTTTCTGGTGTTTTATCTGTAATTATCACTAACACTTTGCCTCTAGAAAGATGGTGAAAAATATGATCCAGATGTCCTTGAGGGATTTGAAAAGTATCAAAAACAAAATCACCATCTTTTCCAAGGACAAAGACAATGAAACTGTCACCATTTTTAGCATGTTAAAAGAGGTTGAAGTAGCCATTTTTGCTGTGTTTCAATCCTTGTTATCCTATGTTGGTGTGCAATCAAGGAAAATAGGCTGGTCTTTGGTTTCCAAGCTAATCTAACACAAAAGTGTTTCACGCCAAGATGAAGAAACAAATGGGAATGAGTTTGAGAAGGTGGATGGTGCATTGAAGGCAGGAAAATTTGACAGCATATTTAATTAATTGGGGAAGATGGAATCGAGCATTCAACATATCGAAGACAATCTAGAATGCTTGTTTA